ACACATGTATTGTACTAATCTAATTTGAATTTTATTAACCTTGCTAAATGAAATTAACTAGTCCCTATCATAGGTATCAATGCACAGATAATGGGCTTTTTACTTCGAGTGTCTTGGATTTCTATTCCTTTGTACATGTCATCCGACAACTTTCTGAAATCAAAACAAACATACCGGCTTATATTGCTGATACTAAGCTTTGCACACACAAAGACAATAATTAGGGAAGATTTCATTACAGATGTTGACATGTAAGAAAAGAATTAACTTTGACAGAGTTTCAAATCTGACTGAAATTGCAATAGCTGCATATTTACCTATTTATATCACATTTTGAGAAATCTCACTTTTAGAGAAATCTTGGAAGACAAACAGAAACAAAGAGAAAAGTTAGAAAAAATATTAAGAGATGAAACACACTATAAATTCAAGAAATTAGAGGTTTTTTGTTTAATTTTCACTACGCTGTTTTAAAGTCTAGGTTCAAGAAAGAAACTATGCCACTGCATCCCGTGAAGCCACTCATATTCAGATTTAACAACATGTCAATACTCAAGGTTTAAAAAATATTGCTATTAAAACCTTATTGCAAATCCACGATTTGACAAAAAGTCCGTTGACATCAGAAGGCTTTGTCTTCAGCTCTCACACAAGAAAACAGCAACAGCTGTCTCAGGTCCTGTAAATGCTTTTCTTCACAATGCTGTCAGATCCTGAAGAGATAGACAAGCGTGGTTAATTTACTTCATTTGGTATAGGTATGTGAAATTCAGCAGTCCTAAACGTGATGTATAAGACAAAGCAACCACAAACTACTACTGTCATGCACATAGATAAACCCAAAATATTAGATAGGGGACAAGTGGCCACTAATTTTGAATCAACATTACCTGCTAATAAAATTCTAATAATCTTCTTTTTTTCAACAAATTGACAAGTACTTTGAATCAACAAAAATCTATTTGTTCCTTTATAAATTCAGATCAGAAAACAAAACGTCTGAAAGTTTCCTTTTGCTTTGGTAGTGGGAAGTTGCCTGATTAGAGACTTCAAAATCAGACATGCACAGGATAACTAAATTTAACTAGAAAATTAACTTTTGTAAAAATAAATTCTTACAGCCTGCTTCAAAGACTACTGATGTCAGAAAAAGTCTACAACTCTTGTCTCTAATTAAGTTGGTTTGTTAAAAAAAAAAATCTCATTACAGACCTGAATAGGAAAATACTCAGAGTTCTTAGTTTCTAGTGAAGTTTACATCCTGTAAAGAATACTTTTACATCTTAATTCCAACTATTAAGGAGAATTCATTATAATTAGGATCCTTTTAATCCAATGCACTGACAAGTGAGTTTCTAAATAAAAATACCTGAACCTTATGTAAAATATGCTTCAGAAAAATCCAGTGTTCTGATTGCAACAAAATTACATATTTTTCAATGTTTGAATGCAAAAAATGACAAGCTATAAAATCTGTTTTAAGTAAGATCTACAGAACAAGATAAATTTTAATAATCTAGTTGCAACTCAGTGTTTATGTGAACAGAAGAATCAGAGTGAGTACTTTGTCTACTCAAGCATAAATCAGATGAGTATACTGAATTTTTCTCAGACACAAAAAGCTGAAACCAACCCCTACTTTTTGAGATTTTTCTAATAGTCACTCCTCAATAACCAACCCTTCAATCCCAAATGAATAACGACCAGCTTATAAATATACTTAACACATATTAAGTTTGTTTAGCTTCCTCTTAGGATTTTAGAAAATTATTTATATTTCTTGTTTTACATATGTGACTCTAGCTACCAATTTACGACTAAACAAGAACACAAATTAGCCATCTCACAACAACAGAATTGATATTACTTTAAAAATAATATTAAAAGTAACAAATAATGTGATTCATGTAAACTGTCATTTAAAACTATTTCACTTTTTCTACACTAAATACAAATTACCTCCTTATCTCAGGTTTTGAGACATTACTGCAATTACTTACTGATATCTGCTTCAATTAGTGTAATTTTTTAGTGAAGGAAATTTTACTTCTCAGCTGATACAGACTGTATTTATTTCTGCAGGTGGCAGAAATCAAAATCCCTAGTGAAACAAATACCCAGGCATACCAGTCATTCCAGTCAAAAAAGAAAGGGTTGGGCAAATGCTTCAGTAACCAAGTTAACTATGATCCAGTATCAGAACTGGGCTTTACAAAGAAGCTGTACTGACCTTGTGAGAAAGTTTAATATCAGAGTGCTTGACAGTTTCTAGGGCATTTTTAAAGCAATCACAGTACTTGACTTGCTTACAAGACTTTTTAAAGTATTGCAGAAATGTTCGCCTCCACACCTCAGGTCACAGAGTTGGACTTTTTGATGGTCTAGACAGACTCGTGATGTAAAAACTTGGTATAAATGGGCAACCTGTGAGGAAAGGACAGTAGTTAAATGGACATAGGCACCTAATGCTAAGTAAAGGATTTGACTCTCTAGGAGTGCTGATGGTGGTCTGCAAGCATTATGAAAAATAAATTAATTAACAAATAAAACTGGTACTATGGAAAAAATGACAAACAACATGAATGACTGACAGGTGGGCAAGAATACTAGTCTCAAATATGCTTTCTCCAGTTTCATGAAAAATAGTAACTTAATCAGGCAGGAAAAAAAAAATGGCTAGGATCCCACTGTGTGGAAACATTGTCTAATATCACACATTGGGCAACAACCTGCTATTTGTAACACTAGTAAGATTTAGAGGAAGATTAGAAAGACAGAAACCTCATTCCTTCAGTGTTGCATTTTCCCTAACTTCAACCTTTCCATTTTACTCAGTCTTAGTCACTGATTGTTCCAGGCAAACCCTTAAATGGAGAATAATATTTTCAAAGCCACAATGAGAAAGATCAGAGGGGATGAGAAGCATGCAAATATGATGAGTAAGAGAGCCCAAACCCAGTCACCTCTGTAGAAGGCTGCCCAACCCTAACTAGCTCCAAACTGGACCATCATGCACAATCTACTTGTGGAAAGACACCAGTTATTGTTCCAGTTGGGGGCCCGGTCCAGCAGATGTTCCCTACCAGCCTGGTGCTGGTTAGCAATGATAACAAGCACCCACTTTGCTATTGGATGGATTCTCAAGTAAGAAGACTTTGATGTCTTTGATGCGTACCTCCCTGTGTTCCTCAGAATTCTCCAGATCGAGAATTTTTTCAGTTAACTGCTGATTTCCCAGTGATTTTAATCCTCCTGGTTGTTTGGGTGACTGCAGGGAAATGAAGTCCACAGGGCTGAACACTTATCTCCTAAGGTGGAGACCAGAGCAAGCAAGCTTGGTCCGCTGAGCAGCTGGTGCCAGGCACTGGCCACTGCTAATAGCCCACCTGTTTGCGGGAAGAACTTTGACACTCAGGGTGGCATCACTGATTTCAGGGTGGTAAAAGTGCTTTAAAGACAAGAGCTAACACTAATAATTCAACAGCAGTGTAAATCAGCATTCACAGTCCATCACAGCCACAATGTAGGATTGCATTTTGCTGGTTTTCAATTATTAAATGTGAACCATTTAAAGTAATATGCAATTAAAATAAACTACAATACAACAAATGACAGGAGAACAACAAAATGTAGTGGCAGATATCCACCTGGCCAATAACAGATAGTTTATTAACCTGATCTGGGGAGGCCGGCAGTTGGAAGGTGCCTTGAATCTACCTGAGTAGGGTAAAAACCTCCAACCTCGGGCTGATCATCTCTGACAGGAATCACTTAAGAAATATCCTCACCACCACACTTCTGGTGAAGGAGAACTTTTGTGTATTTTTCTCAGTTCCTGTGTAAGGATTCATAAGCAAACAGCCCTTGGAAAAATACAACCAAAAGGAGTTTTGGCGGAAATCCATGGACCTTAATTCTTTTGCCTTGGTGGGTGATTGGACTTATCAAAACATAGCCTTGATGAACTCTTGTAAAAGCAGGAAGGGAGGGAGAGGCTTTCAGGCCACAGTCTGCTCTTCTTCCCCAGCACGATTTTGGGGAGACACTGCCCGAACTCGGTTTATTTGTTCTGGTGACGGGGCTAAGCCTCTCCCATGTGAAATTTCACTTTTCAATGAAAACTTACTCCGGGAGGAGCATCGCCAGTATATTTCTCGTGTGACTCATACGCACAAAATCCAAAAGTCAATAGTCAAGAGTTTATTTGATGGAGGTTTTCTTCTAATTAAGAGGTCATTAAGGGGATCCGACCGTTACTCAGCGCTGAGACGAAGGTCCCCAGCAGCTGCTCCAGCCCGGGAGATGTGCCGGCCAGCACATTTTCCAGAAACATGTTTCCTCTCTCGCCAGCGGCCCCTTCCCCCTCCCCGTCACCCCGTTTTTAGTCTCTCCAGCGCTGATGAGCTAATAGCATTTTTCCTTTGCATACTTTGGCGCTGCCCCACGGCATACTCTGGCAGCCTACGTGTGTCTGAGCGCGCCCGCCCGCCGCAGGCTCGGCTCGGCACGGCTCGGCGCGGCTCGGGGCGCGGGGGGAGACAGGCAGGGAGGGAGGGGGGAGGTAGGCAAGGAGGGGGGGAGGCAGGCAGGGAGGGAGGATGGGGAGCCCCCGCCGACGCGCCGGCCCGAGCCGCCCCGTTCCCCCCGGGCCGCCCCCGCACGGGGCAGGCGGGCGGGGGGCGGCCGTGGGGGGAACTGTCAGGGCCGCACGTTTCCAGCCGCATTACGTGAACAAATGGCGGGGGCGCAGCCAGCCCAGCCAGCGGGGCTTGTGTAACTTTGCGAGCGTGCCAGCAAGTTTAAAGTCCCTGGTCTCTCCTCCTCCTCCTCCTCCTCCTCCTTCCCTCGCTCCAGACACCAGCGCGGGCCGAAGGACGATGAGAGGCTGATTGTTTGCTCCGGCTCCCCTTCGCATCCCCTCGCCTATAAATACTGGGGAGAAGAAAAGCTGCTCCCGCCGCCTCCCCCGGGCCGCGTTTCCTTTCCGACGGCCCGACCTGCCCGATGGCACCGCCCGGGTGCCGCAGCGCCTGAGACCCCGCTACCCGCCTGACCCTTCCAAAGGTGCAGCCCGCACTCCCCGTCCTCCCGCACCACCCCGCCCCATCTCCAGCAGGAAAGGAGCCCCTCTCTCTCCGCTCGGCCCCCTCTCCCCCGGTTTCTCCCGTATCTCTCTTCCCGCCGGCTCCTAGGAAAGAGGAGAAGATGCGATTCGCGCCGCCGGGGCTCCGGCTCGCCCAGCTCCTCGCGTGCATCTACTGGAGCTGCCTGTGGCCTGCCGGCTGCCAGCAGCAGCAGCCGCTGCGCCGGGATCCCCCGCCGCCCCCCGCCGGCTGGAGGCAGCGGATCCAGTGGGAGAACAACGGGCAGGTGTACAGCCTGCTCAGCCTGGGCTCCCAGTACCAGCCCCCGCGGCGCAGGCAGGCGGCGGAGGCGGCGGGCAGCCCCATCCTGCTGCTGCGGAACAACGGGACGGTGCTGCCCCGCAGAGCCGCCACCCGCGCCGCCGCCGCGCAGCCACAGCCCCCGCCCGCCGCCGGCACCCGGGGCGGCTCCGGTGCTCGGCACTGGTTCCAGGCCGGCTACCAGCCTTCCTCCGGAGGCCGCGCCGCCGCCGGGCAGCGGAGCCAAGCGCTCGCCACCCCCGCGGCCAGGAGCGCCTCCTCGGGGGCGCCGCGACCCAGCGCCCCCGCCAGCCCCGCCGGCGGCACCGGCACCGACGGCAACGGGAGCAGCACCAGGGCCGGCGGGCTGCCGCCCCTCGGCAGCTTCAGGCCCGGGCGGGAAGATGTCATGGTAGGAGACGACCCCTACAACCCCTACAAGTACACAGACGATAACCCCTACTACAACTATTACGACACCTACGAGAGGCCCCGCCAGGGCAGCAGGTACAGACCCGGCTACGGCACTGGCTACTTCCAGTACGGTAAGAGCCCTCCTTCCCGCCCGTCCCGACCCGTCCCTCTCGGCCCCGCCGCGCCGCCCCGCTCGCTCCCGCGCACGCCGGTCCCGGCGGGATGCGCTGCGGGGGTCGCCGGCGCTGCCAGCCCTTCTGTTGGGGCAAAACCCGACCAGACAGGCGATCGCCCGGCTCCCGGCCCGCGGGAATCCCGGCGGAAAGCCCGGCGGGAATCCCAGCGGCCCGCGGTCCCCGCGGCTGGAAGAGCGGGGAGCTGCGGAGGGCACGTCCATTAGCCCACCGCGGGATTCTGGGCGTCGTGTTTGCGATGTGATCTTTGGGAAAAGCCGAAGAGCCTGAGCAAAGGGGAGGAGAGCGAGGTTAACGGAGGGCAGGGGTCCGTAACAAAACGACGGCTCCTAACGATTGGGATGGTAGCCAAATATCTGCAAACGTGTCCTGGGTTGATCTTGCTGTTATGTGGTTGGTTTGATGAACTGCAGGTCTCCCTGACTTAGTCCCGGATCCCTATTACATCCAGGCGTCCACATATGTCCAGAGAATGTCCATGTATAACTTGAGATGTGCTGCCGAGGAGAACTGCTTGGCAAGGTAGGCATCACCTCAGGCTTTTGCCCATCCACTGTGAGTTCTTGTGTTCCTGTGTCCACTGTGGAGTACCTGTGAACACGGTGAAGAGTGAAGAAGAGTGAGGTTGGAGGCCCAGGGAAACACAACCCAGTTTGAAACCTTCTTCCAAGCTTGTGGCAGATGGTGGGGTATACACATCAGAAAGCAATATTGCCATACTAGAGAGACAAGCTACGGATCTTTTGAAAAACCTACACATTCTGAAAAGTTACATTACACATTTCTATTGTCGGGCTCATTTGAACATATCTGAATTTTGTGAAATGGAGGCATCCAAAAAACCTATTTGAACCTGGTGGTTTTCATCTCCCTTTTCTAATCCCATAAGATCATATGCAACTCCACTAAAAAAAGACGAAACAAAAACCTATTCTTAACCAGCACAAGTTACTATTAAAATTATAACAAGCTAATTGTTTCTGGGCCTATGCCTTGTAATGTCTCTTAAAACTAAAATCTCCCTGAAAAGTGTTTCAAAGTCTCTTAAGGGGTTGAAATAACAGCTTTGCTATGAAGTTTGGTCTTGTCCAGTTGGCAGAGAGGGATTTTTCCTGTTTTGTTTGGAAAGAAATCAACATAGCTGTTTTTAACCATTTTAACTTGTTTGATACCTTATCATTTAAAACAGATTTATGTATTTACCAGCATCATTAATTGATATCAGACTTTTTCCAGGGTCGTGCTCTTTGTTCACTTGCTGGAAAAAGAAAACATGACATAGGAAGCAGTATTTTTCTGCTAGATTCTCAGTGAATACTAATTGAAATGTTCTTGCTAGCTATCAGTTGACTAAAATATTCCAGTATTTAAAAGATAATAGCTATGTGAAAGAGGATAATATAGCCTGTTCATATATATATGTATTTTTTACAACAGAATCAAACAATTGTTGTGTGATCTTACATACACAGGGAGTTATTTTTGTTAACAGCAAGTTTTGGTACCAGAGTAATTTTACAGTTTAGCAGTGATCTGCTTTATAGATGAACTCAGTCAGTGGTCAAACTTCCATTTAGAATATTGGAAGTAGATTTGAATCTTACTCAGGTCTTGGTCTGACACCAGGCATTTCCACACCATATGGAATTCCTGTGAACCTCCAATGCATGAAGTTTAAGGGGGCTGAAAAGACCTCTGCTGTCAGTTACTTCTGAGACAATAGAAAGTGTTTTTTTAAAGTGTTTCTTGCATATACTTACACATTTTCCTTTTTTTCCATTATTGCAGTTCAGCTTATCGAGCAGATGTCAGAGACTATGACAATCGGGTGCTCCTGAGATTCCCCCAAAGAGTGAAAAATCAAGGCACATCAGATTTTCTGCCCAGCAGACCCCGTTATTCATGGGAGTGGCATAGCTGTCACCAGTGAGTAAACTGCTCAGTATGAAATCTATGTTTTTCACTAACAAATTGTCACTTACAAGGTGACATTTTCTAAAACTGCAGTGAAGCAGAGAAAAGCCATGAGGAAACTTTAGCCTCTTACTGTCTGACACATTTTATGTAGCGGTAATTACTCTTTCTATAGGCACATGAAACCAAAAGGGATATGAAGCTTATGTAAGAAACTTGTACAAAGTCTAAATTATTTATAAATACAAGTCTCAAGCCAGTTTTGATGTAGATTATAGTCCAGTTACATTTAAGTGTAACCAGTTAATAAAAATCCCAATCATGTTAAAATAAATGGAAACCCTAAAATGTACATCTACTAGCATGGTGCCTATGATATAGCATTGTAAACAGTGACCCATACCTCTTGACCTGAATTTCATGAGTTAGTTCTTGACAAGGAATGCTCTGATAAATATGGAATTGAAAAGCTACTGAATTGATTGATCCTGTCATCAATAATATCCTTATCAGATAATGATACTTTGACACAGCAGCAAAGCTCTAGAAATAGCATAATTGTTGAAAACACGGAAAGGCAAATGAAGTAGGACATTTTCAACATTTTGGGAGCAAGCAACACAGCAAACCTGTATCTTTTCAGAAAACTCACATTCAGCAGTTTTCAGGTTTGTTCTGTTTTTTGCTGTTTCACAGCAGAACTCCAACAATTTGCTTTCACATTTCAGTGGCCCTCAGTCAATATAACACATTCATAACAGCGGTGAAAACAAAATCTGCATAAAGAAGTGGGCTTCTGTGTACTGGCAATGCAGATTTCATTCCATGTCAACTCTTTTTGCAGTCTGTACTTAATGTCATCTCTATTGCAATACTAGAAGTACTTAGAATAGTTACTTCCACCTTATTTAAAATACAACTCTGCTGCTACAGGTACATAAATGATAACTTAATATCATTCTTTTAAAAAAATGGTATGCAATGTGGGCTTGATCTGAAGGCCTCTGAGCCTTCAGAGGCTTTAAGCACTGAATGAAAAATCAGTATCATTAGAACAAGTTCTTTCAAAAAAAGACTAGTATTATTAGTTTATAAAACTTGTAAAGATAAAAAAGCTAAAAATAAATCAAATCATAAAACAAAGCCTCCACAAATGCTTTAGTTAACCCCCATTCCTGAAAAAAAATCAATCACTAATAACAAAAATACCCCAACTCTAGTGCTTAAAAAGCTCATAAACAGATGAAATGGAGAGAGCAATTGAAATCTTCCATTTGTAAAAGAGCAATTTCTTACTCTGCCACAACAGCCTAGCTATTGCTGTCCAGATGTAAAGTGTCTCTGATGTTGATTCAGTTCTTGGACAGAACATACATTGCCACAAAAAAATGCATCTCTCGTGATCATTTCCATAACAGTGAAACAAGCTCATTTGGAAACGAACTACAACTGCCAACTAGTTTGGCTAGCCATCAGACTTCAGTGTTAGTCATCATCATCTGTGGACTGGTTTTAGTGTTCTTAATGCACATGCTTGTGAGACTCGTGTGCTGTTTTGTTTCACCAATACATTTGAATTCTGTTTAATTAGATTTTTTTCATATACCTCTTGAGCTGAAGGCATTCGTAAGTAACAGCAGCCAAAGATACAGTGAAGGTAGATAAGACAAGTGTAGTTTAGAAAAAGTGTAATTACAAAAATAATAGGTGTTGAACTCTACAGTAAGAGCCTGAACTCACTTTGTGTGAGAGCAAAAAAAAAATGCATCACTTTGCCCAGATTAAAAGCATACACACTTTTGCAATAGAGATGACATTAAGTACAGCTGCAAAAAGAGTTGACATGGAATGAAATCTGCATTGCCAGTACACAGAAGCCCACTTCTTTATGCAGATTTTGCTTTCACTACTGTTATGAATGTGTTATATTGACTGAGGGCCACTGAAATGTGAAAGCAAATTGTTGGGGTTTTGCTAGCAAGTAGCAAACTTCCCTGGAATTTACAGTATGTAAGGTAAGCATTCCTAGTGAAATTCTGGCTAAAGGCAGTTATAAGATGTACAATTCAAATATGAACTACTTAATACTTGCTACTATTATTGGAAAAGAGCTGAAACAGGAAATTTTGGAAAAACAGTGCTGGAATCTTTCCTATAACAAATTAAAATCTATTATTTATTTACAGAAGATGGCATGTAGTAATTGAAAATCAGAGTAATAAAAATAATTGAGTAGCCAGTAATAGAAAAGTATAATAATGCACAGATTTTGTTTAACAAATAAAATTTGGCCACATTTAATGGGAGGTAGATCAAATAGGAATATGTTAAAATGTTATTTATATGATCTGATCCTTCTCTAATAGTGTATCTATGGTTTAACAGACATTATCACAGCATGGATGAATTCAGCCACTATGACTTGTTGGATGCGAGCTCACACAGGAAGGTTGCTGAAGGACACAAAGCAAGTTTCTGTCTTGAAGATACCTCCTGTGATTATGGATATTATAGGCGGTATGCATGTACAGCACATACACAGGTAAGAGCTGGTTTGGAGACAAGTTTTTTTCCTCCTCTAGTCTACATTTGGGTAACTTTTCTGCTTATCATCTGACTCCCTGAATTAACTGATGACCTAACTAACTTCTGAAATTCCTCTGTCAGAGGCCAGGATACCATCTTGGAGACATAATTTACCCAGGTGCTGCTAAGTGGGTTCCTCAGTAAAATGCACTGACACTCATTAGCTTAGCACCACTGCTAAATGAATTCTATTAAGACACACCACAAGTTGTCATGGCTATAAGTCCAGTCAAGTGAGCTAAAGGGAACTCAAGACAGCCAGTAAAGAAGACGCTCCAATGTTCATCCCCCCGTAACTGCTCAGTTATATCCTTGGCTGGTCCCAGAGTTCAGCACTAGTATTTTCACCCTTTCAGAGTCTGAAGCTGTAAGGTTCTGAATTCCATTAATACCTATTGCTACTGGCTGGCAGTCTGACGCAGAAATCTTACAGCATTATTTTATGCCTGTATTTAAGGCATAAAAGATATAAAGAGAATGGCAGCCATTTGAACATTATGATGGGTCATGTACAAATGTAAAGCCAGGTGCTAGGGCTTATTAAAGGAACAGATGAAAAATGGAATCAAACATTAAGATAAAAAAATCCTTGAAAGACTCCTACCTTGAATATTGCATCACCATCTCTCAAAACTGCTGCAGAAAAGCTTAAAAAATCCGAACTAGCCAACCCCAGAAGAACAAGGATGATCAGCAACGTAGTATGGCTAAGAGACTTCATTGACTTTTTTTTCCATTTGGAAAACCAAGTAAGAACGAAACTTGAGTGGTCTTGGATTGAAAGAGGAAGTTGTTGATATTTATTCTTTCTTACAATACAAGAATTTAAGACCTGCTAGACAACAGCTTTAAAACAGAAAGTAGTGCTCTTTTGACACATGAATGAAGTATTAAATGCCTTGCCTTAGGATGTTGCAGAGATCAAAAATATTTACATGTGTTCAAGAAAAATTCAGACAAAATAATGGTCACTATTAAACACAAAATAAATCTGATGGTACTCCATGTCTTAAATACAGTTAAATGCCTGGTGGAAGGAATTTGCCTGACATTACACATCCCATTTCTTAGGTTCTTTTGTCCTCAAGCATCTGCTGCTGACCATTGTCAGAGACATGACACTGAGCTTGATGGATCTGTAGTTTAACTCAGCGTGGCCATACTTACACGTACATCTGTATCCCTTATTCTGCAGCTTTTAATCTAGGAGGTAGTTATTTTATCACAGAGAAATAACAGGTATGCTTCACTGGCTGACGTGTCCACATTCGAATTTTAACTATAATGAATGATGTGCAATACATAAAGGCTTTGAAGAGGTTTTATAAATATCTTTTCTCCTTCGTAGACTATGACATCTAACTAAGCAACATACATATTTTACAGCTGGAGTATTTGTGTCACTAGAATCGTGGCTGTGTCAGCGTTTCCACTGGAAGCCCATGTTTCAGGGGTTTGTAATTGGACTGTAAAACTTTCCTCCAGCCTCAGACTTGGCACATACATGCTGGGTCAAGAGGGAATTCCTACAGGACTTGGGTTTTCTGCACTTTGTGTGTTGCCAGAACAGATTAGCTTTGCCTAGAGCAATCTGTGTTGGACACAGTTAGAGACACCAGATTTGAACCACTGATACATTCATAGTTAGGGATTCTTACTGATGTTCCCAACAACAAAGAATTTTTCAGAAAAGATTCATCTGGAAGAAAGGCTACATTTTCAGTTCCCTCAGATTCTTGTGCCACTGTGTGCCTGAAGAGACACCATTTCCATGCAAAACTCAATGTGAAAATAGCTCTTGAGCCTACTGTTCAAAGTTAGCACTTTGGCAGAATACACCCATAGCAAGAAGTTGCATCATTCCTAAGGGCAGAGAGAGGTTCCAGCATGGTGATAGGGTTTGTATTCAAGGACTCCAGAAGCAATTTACTTGAGATTTACAGATACTTATCTTATGTAAAGAACAGGAAATAATAACAGCACCAGTCTTTACATAAAAGGAGTACTGTAGCAAGTGATAATAAAATACAGATATCTCACAGATGAACAAATTATTCAAAATATTATAGATGTTTCCTCTTCTGTAATAAAGTAATAAAGTGCAGTCTATCAAAATGGTATGTTTGACTTACGTATTCGACTTTAGATATACAAATAAAATGTCAAGAAAAAATAAGACTAATTTTCTGAGTTAATTTTCTTAGTGAAGTGTGATGGTTAAGTGAACTTCAGTCTGAGTGTCCCTAATGTCTAGAATGTTACTGTTCCTAATGACTAATTTTTTTTTTACATCCACCTTAACTTCATTTTTAAGGGTCTGAGCCCTGGCTGTTATGACACTTACAATGCTGACATAGATTGCCAGTGGATTGATATTACAGATGTAAAACCTGGAAATTACATTCTGAAGGTAAGTGTATTGGGAGTGGTGAAGTATGTTTTGGGGTTTTTTTGTTGTTGTTTGCTTTTTAAAGAAGCAAATCATAAGCATACATCCTTTTGAATGTATGTGAGCAGCTGAAACCTGGAAACAGATAAACACTATGCTTTCTCCCCTTAAGGTGAGTGTAAACCCTAGCTATTTGGTGCCTGAATCCGATTACTCCAACAATATAGTGCGCTGTGATATACGCTATACAGGCCACCATGCATATGCCTCTGGCTGCACAATTTCACCGTAAGTACTTTCCTTTGTTTTCTGTCGCTCTCTTAGATTCATGGTAGTGAAGTTGACAAAAAGATTTATAAAGCTTAGAGATTTACTTTATCTTGAAGAAAATAACTTCCACTATTAGTTCTACTGATAGCAATTTCTTCAGTATTTTGTTTCTGGGGTTTCAGGAATTTAAAAGTTTGTGGGAATTTTGCTCTTGCACTTGTGCCATCAGAATACATAGCACTTTCAAAATTGCTGTTACTGTCTGGGCTGCTAGATAACTACCTCTGGCCCACACCTTCTTTGTATTTGCACTAGAACCTTTCTGTGATCATTCATTTATGCCGCCCACACAGAACTGTTCAGCAGTTACAAAGCTGTTAAAACGTTCTGTAAAATCCCACACATGTATGTTACTGCGCTGCTGCTGCTTACACAGCAGCCATCCTCCCTGAAACAGTTCTTTCACACACACTCCATCTACAGTTTAGTTCTTCAGAAGTTTAAACAAGGTCAAATGTACATCTCTTTAAAAATCTTTTCTCCAAAAAAGAAAATTAATTTAATAAATTACCTCATGGTAGATCTACTGTACCTTAATATCTGTCAAATACACACACACACAAAGCAGTCTTCTGCAACATAGAGGTAAGCAGTTCTCAGGATAATATATTAGTTGCTCATCCAAAATATTAATCAAGTGACTTCATTTTGATTGCATAAGGAGTATTAGCATTTTATAGAGGTTTATATGAAATAAATTCCAGAGAAGTAAATGAAAAGTAAAATAGATGACCAGTGTAGTCTTACATAACAGCATCAGTGAAACAAATACACTGAATTAATGTGACTAGCTTAATTAGCTTGTAAAATATTCATTCCTTACTTTGCATTAGGAAATCAGTAGTCAAATGAGGCTAAAGGGAGGAATGTTTTTTCATGCCAGTGTGGAGATTTGTATTTGTAATCACATTTTGATCATACTCATGACAAGTAAAATGGCTTCAGCAAAGTCCTCTGTTCTTGCTGTGTATTGGTCAGACTTCACGAAAAGGAGGAAAAAAGAATAGGTGTTCTGCAGGTTGTGAGAGATTATTTTTGGTGGACCTAAGGCAGGAGCTTTTCAAGCATTTCTGTGTAACAGGACTGATTTCTCCTTCTTGGACTACCGCATGTGCTCGCATTCATGTGGAAGGGAAACTTATGCTTCATACTTTTAACTTCTAGTCTCCCCATCTTACCTCTGAAAATGTTATGGAGTACAGAGAGTAAAAGAATTATTAAGGTTGGAAAAGACTTTTAAGATCATCAAGTCCAACCATCAATCTATGACCACCATGTTCACTATTAAACCATGTCCTCAAGTGCCATATTCACGTTTTTTTGAACACTTTAAGTGATGATGACTACACTACTTCCCTGAGCAGTCTGTTCCAATGTTTTGCAACACTTTATGTGAAATATTTTTTCCTAATATCTAATCTAAACCGCTCCTGATGCAAGTTGAGGCCATTTCTTCTTGTCCTGTGACTTGTTACCTGAGAGAAGAGAGCGACCCCCACCTCCCTATAGCCTCTTTTCAGATAGTTGTAGAGAGCAATAAGGTCTCCCCTGAGGGTCCTTTTCTCCAGGATAAACCACCCTCTCTCTCTCTCTCTCTCTCTTTCTCTCTGTATATATATATATAATGTATATATATTCGTGCAGGGTGAGGAAACAAAATTTCTCTTACTGTTCGCTGACTTGTGCCTTCGAGCTGATAAATGTGTACTTAGCAGATATTCTTTTTGTACCTGCTTGGTCACCTCCACAAAATTATTTCTTTTCTTTTGACAGATACTGAGAAAGGTACAAGAAAATGGATGAGATGGTGCCAAATGTTTTGAACTGAAGTATCATTATATAAACTTCAATAGGATGCGAACACTATAGAAACAAAACTACAGAACATACATACATACATACATACACTCACACACCTTATGTGATTTCGAAGCACTCCAGCAGCTTCTCAACCAAAACTTTACTGGAGTTTAAGAATTTAAATTGGCATTACTTGTATTACTATCGAAATGTGTGGAACTGGTGATTAATGCACAGATATTTTACATTTTGAAAACCTAACTCATTCATAAAAACCTGACTATGTCTTAGCTCCTTGAAATTTGGAGTTTAGATGATAATAGGCTTCATTGGTAATATAACTGGTGAATGAGTTGAACATATTTTAAAAGGTAGAAAAAAAGTATGCAATATGAATCAAATAAAATGCAAGAGAAAGTACTAATGTCAGCTATCTCAGAAAATACCATAATGAAAAACAGCTTAAGAGTAATGATACAGTACCATTAAAAGTACTTGCTAGAACACATTGATATGAATGAGAGAAGTATGTTCAGTTTTCAAGGAATATTAACGTATAGCAGAGAAATACATATATATCATATATATCAGTTATACCCCTGCAAGAAAAGTTACGTTTACATTTTTAATACATTAGAAGTTTTTCCATTTTCTTAAGTGAAGAACAGATGGGGTTTTGAAATACACCTTTCCTCTGTGAAAATTAATTAAAAAACTTACCCACCTTTCTATATTCAAGAGATTTTTCAAGGTGGGGCTTTTAAAAGACTTCCGCAAAATTAATGCGGATAAAAATAACAGCTGTCCAGAAATGGGTTCTTGGAGATGAAGAAGAGCCCCTGATGTGGTCATCTGTGAAAAAAATTCAACTTGCACAGATTAACCATCAAAATAATACTGGCAATTAACTCAGGTGGCACCACAAAGAGAAGTAGGTCAGAATCTTAATGAAGTACTTTTAGTGTGAAAAAGCCTACTACCTGCTTCCCCCTTAAGTACTGTAGTTGACTTTAAAAATGTGTATCTCAGTATTCAAAATAACAAAGTTGAAAATATACTATATAGAGAGGGAGAACAAAAGTCAGTGTAATAACTTCCTACTTTAGGCTATTCAGGAACCAAATACAACATTGTTAAGGGGAAAAACTTCAAGCTCAAATTAATGTTTTTTTTGAACTGCTTAACTGGTGCTGGGTACACTACTCCTCCTCCTCCCATCCCAAAATTATTTTGCTTTTGCAGTGCACCCTGCTGTAAGCTACAGTAGCTGTGATTTTTGTTTTAAACTGTGAAATGACATATCACAAGGGGATCTGGTGTTTTTTTCAGAAGATTTCTGATCATGTAAAATAAGGATCTACCTTTGAAACAATGGAACCTAGAAATATTGATTGGCATTGGTTAAATGTGATCAGTTCAAAACACCTAATAAAACATGGAAAGCTCAATATATTAAAAAAAATTGAAAAACAGCTGTGCTATTGAAAATAGTTAAAAATTTAAAAATCTGAGGAGTATGGAGTATTTTTTGTTATCACTACATTATCACTGAGAATATTTCAGGCAGTATTTGGAAATATTTTATGCATTGGAACCCTACAGATTTAATTTGGATGCTTGATGAATTGCCATAATATCCTTTAAGGATCAGCTGTTCTTTAGTACATATATTTATTTCCTGATTATAAAGTATTTCCATCTTAATCATAACTCGGTTACAAATTTGCACAACTAGAACTTAAAAAGGACCTAAGAACCAGCAACCTGGTGATTACTACCCACCAGTGGGAGAGGGTGTAGAATGAATACCATTTATACCTGCAGGTCCCTTTTTGTTTGGTGCGAGATCCATTTTGTCAATCAGTAACCAGTATGGGCAATGAACAGAAGCAAAATTCAGACTCGATTTATTAGAAAGCCATTTGTTACATATGTCTGCAAAAATGAGGGCATGTTCAAAGTTTAGGCTTCTGAAATCTCAGCCCAAAGAGCTTTTAAGTTTAAGAGGTGTTGAGGGATGCAAGCGCATTCATCTTTCTATAGACTTAGGTCAAAACTGGGGTGAAAGTCCTGAGAGGAGCTTGGGCAATGGACACAAAAGCTAGTGAATGGAAGCCAGGCTGTGGGCATGAGCTGCTTCCTGGCAAGAGGTTGTGTGCTTGTACCTCATTGTGCCTGATGCTGAATGTGGGATATGAGAACACTAACAGGGAACAGAGCAGCCGCAGAAAGCGAGGTTATCCCCTGGCTCATGAGGCAGGAACCTGCTTACATGTCTGTACCCAAACTACTTGCAGAACTCCACTGAAGTCAGCAAGCAGCCAGAAGGCCTTGAGCATCTGTGTAGGTGGAGTAAGTGGAAATGGCCTGGTTCAGAAAGGTGTTGAACGCTGTAACTTTGAATCTTGGGGATATTGTAGCTACAAAAATGTAGCTTTTTTTTCCGTAGCAAAATATTGTATTTGTTTTTAAATGTGTGTTAAGCAACATTACATTGATGTACAATAGCACAAAAACTGCCTAAGATAACATGAACAGTCTATTTAGAAAAACAGGGGATTTTAGGATTAAAAAAAAAAAAAGGAATGTGACTTTAACCCTGTCTATGGTAAATCACAATGCAGTAGAAGAGTTTATTATATAGCATGTACAGAAGTAGTTCTAAATAGGGGAGCGCCAACCAGTATTTTCAGTATCTTGGCTCTGCAGATTTGACCCAGACACCTTAACTTACTTTTTTCATACTGGAAAATAATTATGGGATTATGTGCATTTTTGTTGAAAAAAAGTCTATAAAACTGTTTTGATAAAAGCTTTTATTTTTACAGCAAATTATATTTGGATTCCATTTCACAAGACATTGGGTTGATTCCCATCATCTTTGAAAGGCATCTTGCCATTGGTAGGAGAAAAATCAGATTTAGATTTTGAGAGATTTCTAGTATAAATTTGCTGTCTTGCAGTCTCAAATTTCTTCTGAAAAGTCAGATTGTAAAAATGTATGTGAACCAATTACCTCCCACATTTCAAATCTTAACATAAAAATTACATATAAGGAATATGTTGTATGTCAGGTTCATTACAGGAGGGGTTTGTTATATATTTTTTTTTTTAATCCTGAAACACATTTGATATTTGCATATTTCTAGACAAAAGTGTAACAAAAATGACAGATTGGTCACCAATGGAACCAACATATTGTGTAGATTATGTTTTTGTGTTACTAAAGTCTACTCATTTTCTCTCTGCTCCAGAGTTTACTGTGCAGTGTTGAATGAGTGCAAACACCAAATGTACCTTCTTATAGTCATTCATGTATTGTTTGCAGTGTGCTCATTCAAAACCAGTGGGGTGAGTTTCATAAATGAGACATTGAAAAGTGGTTTATCCTGTGTCTCACACTTATGCCGACAAGGCATTTTCATTTTCTCCAAATCCTAAAAGGTGCTGAAAGATTTTAACTTGAATTAAAACCAAAGAGTATGTTATTGGGAGGTTTTTATTATGCAACTAATGCTACAGATACAGTGAAATGCCACTTGTTTTTGCAACTTTTTAGAAGGTTTTTTGTTATTTCCTTCACCTTTCTTCCAAGAGTCTTAATTTCAGTAACTTTGCATCTTTACCTGAAGAGCTCTAATTTATAATATTCAGGCACTAGCTTTGTATTCTTCATTGCACTTTCATATTCTTGTGTTACATGCCTGTATTATGGTTGCAAGTTTATGTGAAAATGACTTGAATAAAATGTTTCAAGCGTTCTACTTGTCAAAGTATTATACTTACTGTATAGGCCAGATCCATCTCTCTATGAGATTTAAGGTTGTTATATCTATAGGAAAACGAGAAAGATTTTGTCGTGCTGACATGGTCTCAGAAAAAAAGTCACAAGTTAGAAACAAGAAAGAAAAATTACTCCTCACACTACACAAAGGATTAACATGTGAAGGCTAAACAGGACAAGGCATTTGGTTCATCTGGATACAGGATTTCCTTACCATATTGTCTGTCTCTGTAAAAGCAGGAACTCAGAAATCACTTTCAGCATTTCTGCTCCAAAAATGATACTTTCATGGGAAGAACATTTGAACAGTACATGGTAGAAAGTCTGTGTACTTTAGAAAATTGACTAACGCATTAAATATGCAATTACCCAAAAAATATTTTATCCTGTTATTTACATTCTCTGACTACAGACTGATGTCCTGCTGCCTCTTTACTCTGTATGCTAAACTGATGAAATGGTCCGAGTTGTGAAGCAACTCTTGTCCCTTCACTGAGGGACTAATACAGAAAAGCATGGTTAAAAACTTTGGAGTGTTGCTCTAGTAAGAGGTTGTTAAACACTTAAATATCAACTAATGGCACTCTTGGTTTCGAGTAAATGGAGACAATACCAATGTAATATCTTTTAAGATTCATAAAATAAATGTAGAAATATTTCAGATATGAACCACTTTGAGTAATGTTTCTATAATTTATTTAAAAAAATTGTTCCTATTCTACTACTTATTAGAACTGAGAGCTTCAAATTGAGAATTTCTTCAAGTACTATTCCTAGAACATAGAATTTGGTGTGGATCAAAATCTGTGCAAATACAAAAATGCAGTAAAAATGCATACAATAATTGCAGAAAGTATATTCAAATCTGTTGAAAATAAAGCATGTCCTAGTTCCAAAATATCTTCTACGGACTATTCTACTATCTCATTTTCACATTAGATCACCTGTCTAGTATCACAAAACGATCTATCACCAGTACACATTTACAAAGCAGCTCAACACATTTGGTGAAGAAAGTATTGCTGTAACTGAATTTTCATTCAAGCCCTCTTTCTCCTGATCTAATCATTCCATAAAAACTGATGTAAGAAATATTTATGCCTCTTCAGAAGCCTTCAAGCTGCTGCTATCAACAGTACACCTTTTTTTTTTTTAAAAACCACCAAATTTAAACTAGCAATGACCATCTTAAAAGACATCGAAAAATAAGAGATTGTTTTGCTGGTAATTCTGAAGTGAAAAATTGTGCACCTGAAGCAGCCTAGTAGTATCCAACAGAAGGTACCTGGTTGAAGACATTTCTTTTGTGGTATGGTACTGAACTGGAAAGTATGGTTCAACATTTTTAAATCTAATCATCACAGAATGAAAAAACTTTCCACATCTCTATAAAAATAAATTGGTAGTACTTTGTGAGAAGTATCTGTCTAAACAGTACTACAGATAAACGAGTTATGTTAAAGTCACGTATATACTCAACATGTTACGTTGTTACAATGAACATAATGTTGATAAACTTTATCAACAACCTCCAGGCAAGTTCATTGGGTTTATCAGTTCACAAATAAATTGCCCAGTTACATAGAAAAAATATTATCAAGTCTCCACCATCACTACTCCTTTGTACAGTGTATTAAGGCTGTGATCCAGGTGAGTCACTAAGTATCAACTAAAAGTAGTAGTAACCCATTAAAATATGAAGCAATGCCAGTAACCTAAACTCTCTTCTCTCATTCACGTTTAGTGTATGTTATCTTTTTCCTTTTCTTTAAAATAAGAGCTCAGAAGTGTTTCTGAAGACAAAAAAAAGAGATGTTTTGATAAGTCAGGCTTCCTTCAGGAAGAATTCTGTGGCCATGAATTACAGCTGTAATAATGCAGTAAGAAACTTGCTCAAGTGCCAAGACAAACTAATGCTCCTAGATCTCTAAGCACATGCAAAAAAGCATTTTAGAACATAAGCTTCTTAGCGTCTTGGACTTTTTCCAAACTGCAATCATTAACTTTTTGATCTTTAATGTGAATAACTCTTAAAATAGGGTCCATTTGCTAAAAGAAAGGTAAGCTGCCCATGAAAAATTGTGTTATAGCTGAAAACATCTACCAAAAGTAATTTTCCTCGCCTTTGACTGGAACCAGAGAAGTCTATGGTATTCAGTTAGAATTTATTTACTTATTTTATTTAAAGCATTAAGGGTTAACATCTGCATCTGGAAATCTCGAAGTCTGTATATAACAGGTAAATGCATGGCTTTTTCTATGAAATACAATCCTTCACTATAAAACCACAGTACACATGTTTCTGTGTTTTATTTTGATGCTTCTGGCCTTAAATATTGTTGCACATGGTATAGTGAGAATAACAGCAACAAAACCCACTGGAAAATGGAAGTTTTTTTGAATTTCGCATTCCTCTGAGAGGCAATGCCATTCAAGAAAGATAGTATCACATACACTGACATTTGCTCAAGATCCAGAAAAGAAAGCCTAACTAAGTGGGGCAAAACATGCCTAGATACTCATAGAAAAATGGACGAACTGGGATGTTTAGTCTTCAAGAACACAGGATGGGAGAATGGGTCTGTTTTTATACGAACCTATCTGAGACTAGATCATGGTCAGCATTTTATCCTTCTACCTGCATTTAGCAAAATAAACAACTCTAGATAAGTCAAACTATAATTCCATTTCTAAAATAATTCCATTCCTCCTTGTAGCCTATTTATTCCATTCTTCCTTGTAGCCTGTTTTATACTTGGAAATCTGGGCTCATTGTCTGGATGTTATTGCCTATCTACATATTTGGAGACCAGAGAATACCATTGTGATATTTGCTGGGACTCCAGGGAAAAAAATCCCGGAAAGCCCATTAAGACATAAAGCCTGCAGGAGAAGGAGACAGAGGTGGCCATACCAGTAACAGAGTAACATAACATTAAAAAAACTGAAGTTGTTCCTGTCATGTGACTCTAATGCCATCACAAGTGGTATTACATCATCACTCTGAGGTATTAAAGAATGACTACATGTTTTAGAATGTTTCCAGTACCTGCCCTATGGTCAGGAATAGATGTGGTAGGAAGAGACTTCTAAACATAATTTAGTTCAAACCCGCTGACCAAGCACCCACCTTGAAACGGCTACCCAGGAATAACTCAGTCAAATTCTGAATGTCTCCAAGGATAGGGACTCCACAATCTTTCTGGGCATCTCTGTACTGGGGAGCCCAGAACTAGATCCAAGACTTCAGAAGCGGCCTGATCTGTACAGGGTAAGAATCACATCTCTCATACTGCTGGCTATGCTCTTTCTAATGCAGACCAGGAGGCTGTTGGGCTTCTTTGACAAGACATAGAAAAATATTGTTTGTCGTAAGACTGTAATACGTAGGAAGGCCTTCAACACTTTAAGGGATTACATATTCTACAAGTTTGCATAGATTTAAGAGCAGAAAATCTGCAGAAAGGAAATCCATAGGGGATTATTAAAGGCAATAATCTACAGTATCTCAAAATGTCCTGGAGCTGGAAAACTAGAAGCTTGAAGATATCGATGTTGCGTGATGTATGACTGTGTGCTCCCTCTATCCTATGCTTAAAACATCCCTTTTTGACTGCTTTTCAATATACTAGGCAGATGGTCCTTTGGTCTGATGCAGGACTTTCCTTAGGCATGTAGTGGATTTACCCTGGCCAGATGCCAGGTACCCACTAAAGCCACTCTCTCACTCTCCCTCTGCAACTGGACAGAGGACAGAAAAAAAAACCAGCTAAGGCTTCATGAGTTGAGATAACAGCTGGGAGAGGTCAGATACTGATCACCTTCACAGGCAAAAGAGACTCAAAGTGGGGATAGTACTTAAATTTATTACTAACAGGATAAGAGCCAAAGAGTGAGGAAAAAAACAGTCTTAAAAAACACCTTCCCCCACCCCTCCTTCCTTCCGTGTTCTCCCTCCTCCCCCCCAGCTGCACAGGAGGACGGGGAATGGGGGTTATGGTCAGTTGTTTCTGCTGCTGCTCAGGGAGAGGAGTCCTTCCCTTGCTCCTGTGGGGTCCCTCCCATGGGAGACAATCCTTGATGGACCTCTCTGGCGTGACTCCATCTGTCGGGCAGCAGCTCTTCCCAAACTGCTGTCCCGTGGGTCACTCCTCCATGGGGTGCAGTCCTTCATGAATGAGCTGACCTGATGTGGGTCCCCCACAGGGGTCACAAGTCCTACCTGGGAAAAACCTGCTCCAGCGTGGGCTTCCCTCTCCACAGGCTGCAGGTCTCCGGCAGGACCCTGCTCCATCCTGGGCCTCCCACGGGGTCACAGCCTCCTTCATGCATCCACCTGCTCCACCATGGGCTCCTCCATGGGCTGCAGGGGCACAGCTGCTCCACCATGGTCTGCACCAGGGGCTGCAGGGCCTCAGCTCCGGCACCTGGAGCACCTCCTGCCCCTCCTTCTGCACTGACCTTGGTGCCTACTTTGTTGTTCCCATGTTCTCACTCTCCTCTTCCCCGGCTGGAATTATTTCTGTGCAACAACCTTCAGTTCTTAAATGTGTTATCACAGAGGTGTTACTGTTACTCCTAATTGGCTCGGCCTTGGCCAGTGGTAGGAAGTCCATCCTGGAGCCGGCTGGCATTGGCTCCATGGGACAGGGGAAGCTTCTGACAGCTTCTAACAGAAGCCATCCTGTTAGCCCCTCCCGCTACCAAAACCCAGCCACAGAAACTCACTATAAGGCATTACAAAATGCTGTATGAATAGTACAGTGTATTATCTTACATCCACTAGAGTCATTTACCAAGTTTCTGAATTAACTTGATTATGTAAGATAACTATAATTAAATAAACACTGCTAAAAATTAATTACAAGTTCAGAACTCATTTCAATTAAGTAGTATGAAAAGCACTTGAAGAAAAATTCAATGAACCTTTTATGTCACAGCCCAATCAAATGAACTCTCAATGTCAGACAGGCACTTA